CCACCAGGATTATCCTGAAAGTGGTGACAAGTGAGACCCTGAGAGAGGATGTACACTGAGGTGTCTTCTACAGTGTCTTGCATAGTCTTTAATTTAAGTAATAATTAAAATAGAAGAAGAAGAAGAAAGATATTTTCTTTCTGGTAAAGAAGTTTCTCTACTTTGGTATTCCAAGGGGAGCTTGATAATGTTGCTCAACTCACAGCTACTGCAGAACTGAGTTTCTGGTCTGGTGAATTTTAACTCTTTACAAATATTGACAACCTACAGGAGACACAGGCAAATATCAGTGCTCCAGTTTATTTCAAGAGCCTTGTGAGCTGCACTGGTTTCTTGATCTCTGTCTGTTGTCAGTTCTTGTGCCAGATTTCCGCTAGTGATGCCAGAACTGTCTGTCCTTATGAATGCAGGCTGGTAGTGGGCTACAGGTAGCTCCTCCTGGCACAGTTAATAGCAGATGAGGCAGCACTATTCTTAAAAGTTCCATGCTTATTGGCCTGCAGTACCCAGCAATGAGCTTTCAAGGATCCAGATCTTAATCTTCAGTCCTTGAACAGAAGATGATATATTGTATGCAAAGACAAGCTCTTGCCTTTAAGATATATGTACTCATTTATTGTTGTTTGACTAGTTAATTTCTTATGCGTACTGTGAGAACAGTTCTGTGTAGACTGTACAAGGCTTTGGTTTTGGATCTGCTCAGCATTGTTGATTGCATTAAAAGCTGTGAAATGAAGACACTTCTGCTTACGTGAGAGGCCAGACTGAAGTCCTAGGTGTGATAAAGCTGTATGCCAAATCTGTGATTGGTTAGGTAATCCCACTGCAGTTATGTAATGTGTGCATGTCATTGCAGATGGGACTGAGGGAAATATTCACTGTGATATGCAGCCCACCGAGCAAGAGCCTGCATTTCTAGAAAATACCCATTGCTCTGTGATAGATAATCTGTGGTACACACGAGTGTTTGGGGCTCTGTGCACAGCTCTGGAGCTGAAGGGGTGATTCACATCTCAGTCTTTCAAGGAGCACCAGCAGCAGCTTTGTCACAGTGTGCCATTTCTCTCTTTGAAACAAGTGTGGTTCATGAAAAATTGTGCCTGGCTGACTTTTACAGAGGCGCTTGGAATGAATTTCAAGGTGAAGATAGCCTGGAGGGAAGCACGGGAATGTTTGTGGCACTCTACAGAAGATGGTTGTAGGCTGTGTGGGTGTATATCCATGTTAATTTTGATCTGCTTTTGGAGATAGGGATTGAGCACGTGCTGCTGACAGGTACAACCAGAGTCAGCCTGCTGCACGCTCATTTGAGTGAGTCCTGGGTTACGAAACAGCAGCAACTCCGTAAATAATTTAAAAAGGGAGGGAAGAGAGGTATCTAAACAATTCTAGCACAATTTTGGTTTCAAAGAATTTGCTTGTGGAGCTGTATTGGTAGACTTGCCTGCAAAACCCTGGTCTGTACCAGGAAACAGCCTGCGTGGCTTAAACTGCTTCTCAGGAGGGAGAGAGGGGAAGAAATTCTAACTGCAATTAGCTACTAGATAGCTGTGTGAGGCTGAGGCTTCTGTAGGGAGTATATTGAATACTTTGCATTGCAGAGAGTCTCACATCTGCACAGTGCTGCAAGCTGGAGGAATTTGAGGTAGGACTGTTCCAAAACAACCACTTTTTACCCTGCAGCTAGGGTAGAATGTGGCTGGCTTCTTTCAAGAATTCAGCCCTGGAAATCTCTTGATGTGCCAAAACAAAGTTTGGCTTTCTTTTGAACAATTTGCGTGTCCTAACTACTTTCTTAAATTTTGCTAGTGGAAGTGGTTTGTCATCTGCTTTACTTATTGCTATTTTTTCATTGTTCTCCAGCAGATATTCTTTGATTTGGCATCCTAAATAAATCTGGGTGAGTGTGCCTTCTATTATGCTTTTTTAAAACGTACAACATTTAAAACAAGCCCTGCTTGGAGCAACAGCCTTTTTTCCTGGGAAGAAGAGATAGCCAAGGCTGCTGGACAGATCCGGATGCTGCAACTGCTCAGGCCAGGTGAATTACAACAGCATCACAGGGTTGTTTACCAAAAGCTTTGGGCGTAAATAGATGTCATGAGTCAAAGGGTTTATGCTACACATGAATGTGTGTGTGCTGGATGCAAGGGTGTGAAGTAGGGCATACAAGATCTCATCTTTGCTCTAAGCTGATTTATTTGCTTTTGTAGCTGGCTGTTGTATTCTCTCTGCTCCCTGTGGACAGGAAAATGGAGGCTGGGGAGGCTCCTAAACCCATTGTTGTTTGTGGATCCAGCCGCAGTGCTGTAAGAGGCACTGGTTTGAGAATGGGGAACCTCAGCTTTGCCACTGAGCTGTTAGATCATTTATAGCAGGCAAGTCAGTCTGCCTTTCCTTTAGCTGCTGTCTATATAAAATGGGAGAAAACACCTTGTGTGCCTTTCAAGAGTACTTTAGGACTTAGACTTGCCAAAAATTAATTTGTAAAGTTAGCACTAGTGTGACAAATTGGATCGTTGGTCATTGTTTCATGTGGATCCTCATTAACTGGAAAGTGCATCATTAGCACAAGATAATGAAAAACTGGGAGAGGCTGAAGTTGCACAAGCAAGATGCAAGCCTGAAGAGTGCTAAGATGACTTATTTCCTATACATCTTTCTTGAGGGTAGGGAGCACCTTGCAGATAATTTTGTACAGTGTGGAGAAGCTACAGTCCTTGGTCAAATTTGTCTGCCTTGCCAAACACATAGTTCTTGTGAGGGCTATTCCTTCTATGTCTGTTATAAGGAGGAACAGGAATGGTAAGAAATACAGACTGCTTCCCGGTAATGTTAGGAGAAGATGTAAAGCCACTTTCCAGAGACAAAATAAGGGTGTGTCTTATGTTGATGCAAACCTGGCTATGTCAGTGGGGAGGCCTAGAGTAAATTGGACAACTCCTTGCATCCATGGCACTGCTCTGGGCATTGTTTGGAGGTGAGAGATGATTTTACACTGAAACAAATTAAAGGAGTAATGTCTCTGTGGATGCACCCAGGCTGAGGTCCTTACCTAGTCTGTGTTGGCACCCCTGTATGCCTGGGCTCACTTCGGTATGAAAACTGGGCTTGTTTCTGAAAGAAGCTACATGTAAATCAGCTGGCACGTGTAACAGGACTGTAGCAGTTGCCCTTACAGGCAGCATATTGTTAGCACAGTAAATGCTGTCCCTTTTATGAGTATCAAAACCAAAAAGGATTCTAGCATTGGTTAGAAATAAGTAGGGCAGTTTTACTGAGTCTTTTGATGAGCTGTTTTAAACATTAGCATCTGCATGGGGAAGAAACACAAAAGTAATTGAAAGTCAGTGAATGCCATGTTCTTTCTGAGCTGATCAGTAATGGGAAAGGAGTTCTTGTTATTTCATGATAGATTGAGTGCATACAGCTTAGGCTGTAAAAGAATATGGAAACAAGTTGTTTGGTGGCTTAGTGTTTTTGATGTGTGAAGAATGAGTCTGTAGAAGGATGTACAAAGGAAGAATCAATACTGATAGACTTTGGAAAATTTCCTCTGCAACAGTGTTATAGATGAATAGGAGCTTCATAAAGATGAGTAGGTAAACTAGGTAAGTTTGTGTTTAACCTGAAGCAAAGGATTTTGTAACTTTTGTCTCTTGCCTCTGGGAAATGGATATACAGCCCTGAGTAACAGTGGGAGGCATCTTTTTGGCAGAGTAGGAAAACTGTTCTGGGCTTAAATTTACAGCAGAGTATTCACAAAAGAAGTCTTAGAGATAGACTGCAGTGATAGGTCTGGATTAGAGCAAGAACTCTGAGTCATCTGTTTATAATTGAATAAATGCTTATGAAAGTACAGAGGCAGAGGGTATAGTGAAACAAAAGAGGAACGAGGAAGGAGCTCTATAAGCACCACAGGACTTTGAGGGATCCTCCCATGTAAGTACTATAAGAACAAGTGGAGATGGGAGGCGAATTAGGAGGAGCTCTAATTACAAAAGGTATGGGAAGGGCAAGATTAAGAAGAAGAGGATGATTAGCATGTATGATGGTCACAAAGGATGAACTTTGTGCAGCAATTCTGCAAGTTTAAGATTTTGGTCTCGTAAGCTTTTGGTAAGAGCTGTTTCAGGGGGAGGACCTGGGTTAAATGAGATCTAGAATGGGAAGTAAAGGAGGACTGCTGACCATGCTTGGAGCTTGTGTGTATGGAAGCAAAAATGAAATAGCAGTAGGTAAAGGGAAGGGTTTTAATATTGGAAATGTAATGTGTATTTTTATTGCAAAGGAAAAAGAACCACGTAAGATATGAATCACAGAGGACATAAGATGTCATAGGGCAGGCACAGGGAATTAGAAAAGAAAATTAACGGTTTGGTAATAGGAAGCAAAAAGAATGTGAGACTGTATTTGGGAACTGAGTTGACGAGGTAAGTAAGGTTACAAGCTATAAGTCAGCTAACGAGCATGTGAAGAGTTGTGTGCTGTCCTAATAGAGATTTAACCGGACTTCTAATTTCAGTCTGGCAAGATAAGGAACATACATTGAGAACTTAGCCCTTGCTGTTTTCTGACTGAAGACAGCTGAAGGGCTATGATTTCATCTAAATGTTGTTTAGATCCTAGAATAAGAACAAAAAGTCCTTCATTTATAGTTTCTCTCCCTCCAACAGATGTTTTTTTTATTTTTGCATTCCCAAACTACATTTAGTTTTAACATATAGTATTATCCTTAATTTTCAAGCTCAGTTCTTCAGAAATTTTTAACCTCTATCATTTGTCTCTTTGGGTTGTGTGAACCTGCAAGAACATGTGAGAGCAGAATGATTTCTCAGCTTTCTTATTTCTCGCTTTTATTTCTCTATATCTGTTTGTTACTCTCATTATTTGTTTGTCATGCACTTGTAAGCATAAGCTCTTCTGTCAACAAGCTAGATAGCATGAATTTTCATCAACATAGTTTCAGAAGTTAATGAATATCTTTTTTTGTTTTGCAGATGAGATCATTGAATGCTCTTTTTTTGCAAGAAGTCGTCAAAGGAAATGGATAGCTATTCTGACTTCAGTGCAAAGAACCTGTCTTCATCAGCTAATATGTCTATCTCTTTGCCGGAACAAGTTGGACTCAATGCCACCGATGGTCCTCCTTCTATGTCAATAAGCAGGCTTTTTCCAGCCCTATTAGAATGCTTTGGAATAATTCTTTGTGGCTATGTAGCCGGCAGAGCCAACATTATCACATCAACTCAAGCTAAAGGACTAGGCAATTTTGTCTCCCGTTTTGCACTCCCAGCTCTACTGTTCAAAAACATGGTGTTACTTAACTTTTCTGATGTAAATTGGTCCTTCCTGTACAGTATCTTAGTTGCCAAAGCTGCCGTGTTTTTCATAGTCTGTGTTCTAACATTATTGGTAGCCAGTCCTGAGAATCGATTTAGCAAAGCAGGTTTGTTCCCTATTTTTGCTACACAAAGCAATGACTTTGCACTGGGATACCCAATAGGTGAGTAGTTCCTTACGCTTTCTTTTTCGAAAGTATTTTTAGTGTTGTAGATGTTTTTGCTTTTCTTTTATTTTCCATTTTTTTTTAATTAACTTTAGAACTGAAGTTAGGAGCTACTTAAACTTTCTCTCAGTGTACATTTCTTGATGGAGCTCATTTTAAAAATGAAAAACTAATCCTCAATACACAAGTGTGTGTATTGGGGTGGGTGGAGCAAAGCTGTCAGCTAGTGTGAATGAAATAATTTGAAGACAATCCAACTCCTGTTGTCTAGCACTATGTGACTTAAAAATGTATAGTAAAATATTTCAGAATTGGTGTAAATTACCCTATACATTGTGTAGGTTAAGCTACCCTGATGGATAATTGCCAGTTACCCTCCAGAACAAAATTAATTGCATTGCAAAGTAGGAGTCCACCTGTAGCCTGTGAAATAGCTGTAATGCAGTTTAGTACTAATTTGGCATTAACTCTTGCTCTACCTCAGAGAAGACACAGCAAGAATGTTGATATCTACTGACTGTGGAATGTGCCTCACAATCTCTTTAGAGCAAACTTTTGTGTTAATTAATTTACGTGGCCAATCAAGTTCTATCCCTTAGTCTTTGTTTTCTCACAACCAATGAATGTTCCCTGGGATACGACCTTGAAAGCAGCCTTTTAAAAGAAAGATTACTGTGTGATTTGTGGTAATTTGTTTATCTCAAATAGGAATTTTATGCAGCTGTGATACCTTTTTCAGTAAGTGCGACTAAGCACCAGTCCAGTGGACTTAAAGGGAGGAGGTGGAATACAAAGAGGAGGTATTCAGAGTATAACTTGTAGAGCTGTGTACTTTTATTCGTGTAAGCCTGCATTTGGAATGCCAAGCTATATCAGTTATTAATCTTGATTTTTATCCAAATCTGCAAGATTTACTTGCAGATTTACTACAAGATTTACCTGCTTCCCTTTGGGCAAGCAGGATACTATTTTCCCTATTAGAGGTTTTCTTAAGGGCATATTTATGTGCTTTTTAGCCATGCGTACTATGATTCTTGAGAAGTGCTCTGGAGTTGTCGCAGGCTTCTCCCACCTGCTGCTGTCTGACTAGCAGTGCTTTTTACCTGCCTTGGGAAGATTCTGTGTGCCAGTGCTGTTTCTTCCCATGCTAACCTGGGTAGCTGGTTCCAAAAGCATGCTGCACATAGCAGGAGTTTCCAAATACACCTTGAGTGCATGGTGTGTGGGGAGGATTGCTGGGTTCACTGGTATTTTTTTACTTTTTCCTGAAGAGAGGGTGATCTGTGCCACTTAAATTCTCTTGATCACAGAATGAACAATACAGATACAGAAGCTCAAACATTCCAGATTATGACAAGTATTTCCATATTTTAGGGAACTTTAAGAGCTAGCAGTTCTGTTCACCCGATTTCAGGCAGCATGCTGTAGAGAATCTTGAATCTTTATTCTTTCGTAACTTGGTGGATGCGTATAAAAGACAGACAAAGGCAATTGCAAACTTTTTCTTCCCTGGATGAAAATACATTTTCCCTCAGTTCCATCTCCTGAGACTTATTCCTCTTGTGGGAAATGTCCCGAACAGGGCTGTGAGGATTACTTCTTTATTTCTTGGCACTGGATTAAAATGCCAGCTAGGGTTTCTTTCAGGCTTTTTCTCTGAGGCTCTCTGAACATATTTCCACTTCCTCCCTCTGCTTAGAACATTCTACTTGTAATCTGACAAGAAAGTCAGTTCAGTTCAATTTTTTTCAAATATTCCTCGATTATAACGTATGATTCATGCCTGCCCTACATGCAATTATCCAAATTCACATGTGGTTCATTAGGAGCTTTACTGTCACACCTAACACACCAGTGGCACTGTAGGCACTTAAGGGCTCTTTGTTTCTTAGAGCTGTTTATTTCCTTTTTCCCCCTTTCAGTTCTCCCACCCCAAACTTTTGCCAGTTTTCAGCATTCTGTTGCATTTGTAAACTATTCACCATTAGTGTGTCACTTCCGAAGTGTGTGCAGGGCTGGACACATGGAATGACTTCTTTGTTTCCTTTTACTTGTGTGTTAAGTAGTGTTTTGAGCAAAACCTCATCTTCTAATGGATAGCTCTTATTAATTATGTCTTTAAAAGTCATATGCTTCACTTTAAAATTGCATAGCAGAAGAATTTAGTAAAGACAATTCTGTATATTGGAGCAGCACAATTTTAAAGACAATTTGAGTGGTTAGAAAAATATAAAATTCAGACTTCTTATCCAATGAGATTTTTTTTCTGTAGTAATTGTTGCTGTTGAAAAAAATCTGTGCATGAGGAAAAAACCTAAATGTCTAGGAAAACAAAAATGAAGATTAAATTTGCAGAACTCACCACCTTGCTTTTCTCTAATCCCTGTTACAACAGTTTCCCCACTACAAAATGATGTTGGCTTGGAGTGAAAAAGAACCAGTACAGTAGTTTGCTAGCATGCCCCTGATGTAAATACAATTGCTAAGAAAGAAAGCTTTGTCTTCTGGCTTGTCCTACTGGGTGAGGTGGTACAACTGTGGGTGAACAGATACGTTTACTCTTGGATGGTGTGCTGTTAAAGAACAGCTGTAGCGCTGTGTAGCGGTGTGTGGGTGATGGGAGGCTCCGTTACAGCAGCTGTAATGGTGCTAAGTGCAGTAAGCATTAACATGTGATAGACATGTTTTTGAGCAGCTGGAATGTGGAAAACTGAGGAAAAAAAGAAAGCTTACTATCATTGTGGTTGATGGGAAATCGAGGTCCCTTTTCAAGATTTTCTATATTTTCTATTTTTATTTTTTTTTTTTTTGGTGTGTGTGTGTGTTTACACACATCAGCCTCGCTAACTGCCCAGAAGCAGTGAAACAGAGAGTTGAAATAGAAGTTTTCAGATTGTGAATTTTTTCACAGCACTAAGAAGTTCCAGTGTTCCACCACCATGTCTTGTCTCCTATGGAAACTCTTTTGGCAGTGCTGTCAATATATAGATTAGCAAAATAGAAGCAGAACTATTACTTTCTAAATCTGCAATATATGTATATTCACAACTCTTGTCTGTAAAACTGCCAGGAATCTCTTTACGTTCATACAGTTACTGCTTTGTGAAACTTAAGAATAGGGACAAATATTTGGAAGAACATTGTATGCAGTAAAGACTGGTCCAAAAAGGCAATGCAGCAAAAAAGTATCATTCAGCATTTGGAGTGAATCAAAGAAGACGTGGGGTTATTTTTATCGTGTTTTTTAACGTAAATGTTGAATAATTGTAGAATCATTAAATAATGTTGGGAAAGTTAATGTGTTCAATACGCATCTGTGGCCTAATGGTGATGTCCCCTTATATCAATTGTAAATTCTGTTACTTTTAAAGGATACTGAAATAACTTTTCTCAAGTTTCAAGGCAACAGAAATTAATTTCATTATTAATGAATTTTTGTACTGAAATATTATCACTCATTACTCTTCATTTCCTGTCTTCTAGTTGAAGCTCTATACCAAACCACTTACCCAGAGTATCTCCAGTACATTTACCTAGTGGCTCCAATATCTCTTATGATGCTAAACCCTCTGGGTTTTATCTTCTGTGAAATCCAGAAGTGGAGAGACAATCGCACTGTGTCCCACAGCAAAATCAAAATAGTGGGCCTAGCACTCCTTCGAGTTCTGCAGAACCCAATTGTATTCATGGTCTTCATAGGAATTGCCTCAAACTTTATTCTTGGCCAGAAAATTCCTGATTACCTTGAAAATTTCCTTGATGGACTGGGCAGTTCATTTTCTGGCTCTGCACTTTTTTACCTTGGACTAACTATGGTGGGACAAACAAAAAAACTGACAAAGGGTATGTTTGTTGCACTGATCCTCCTCATCACAGCTAAACTGTAAGTTCTATTTATGTACTTTCATAATTTTGCTTTGTAAAGTGTTGCTGGATGTTTTAACCTCTGAGTATATCAGTCATACGACTTTTCTTTCCAGTATTTCATCTAAATATTTTATTTGCTGCAGTTCTTCAGTTAGCATAATAGAAATATTTTGTCACTGTATTTAGACTGCAAAATTTGGAGACACACTTGAATATCATAATTACAGCTAACTAGGAAACTTACTACGAGACCTACGCTGTAAGCCATCTCAATTATAATTTTTTAAGAATGTGAGAAAAATAAATGATTGTTGCTTATGGAAGCCTGTGCAAGGCTTACGTAGTAAGTCCATATAATATCTGGGATATTGCTAAAGGCAGGCAGAGGAGCATGAATGGAGATTTTTTTTGTAAGATAAAACTTTTAACGTGGGATACTTGGGCTTGCACACTTGTTCTATGTCAGGCAGGTCACATAAGCTGATCTGATTTTCAAGGTTGCTGAATTCTGTACGGCTGCTGTTTTTTTTTAACAGATGGAAATTACGTGTTGGTTTTATATTTTGCCTTTCTAAATCTGAAGCTATTGAAAGAATGTTTCTGCACAAATATGTAGTAAAATGCGTTGATAATCCAGGGATCAGTGTATTTTCTAACACTTTCGTTTATGCTTTGTTTAACTTGTGACAAGAAAATTTGAAGCAGCTCATAGATGTAATGATTCCTTTTCTGAGTAAACTTAAATGAATGACTTCTTTCCCCCTTCTCTTTTCAGACTTATGATGCCATTTCTCTGTAGAGAAATGGTGGAACTCCTGGACAAGAGCAGCAGCACAGTCAACCATACCAGTTTATCAAACTATGCATTTCTTTATGGAGTTTTTCCAGCAGCACCTGGTGTTGCAATATTTGCAACTCAATTTAATATGGAAGTAGGAATTGTATGTAATCAGTTTTTTCTAAACTTGTGCTAACTTTGGGCTTGAGTTTGTTGAGTAAATACTTATGGTAGAGTATTTATTAAGTACTTTGCTGAAGAACAGACTCCGTACATTTCAAGTCTCAGCTGTAATGCAAGTTAATAATTAACCAGAATACTGTTTCCTGCTGTCTCAAGTTTCTTGGTAGTGCACGTTCTTAAATAAGTCCTTACACTTTTATTATTCATGACAATAGTAGGAAGAACTAGAATAATTTTTGTTTTCTTTTTTCAGAGGTCTTATTTTTGGTCTACTCTTTTAGTCAGAAATAGAGCAGGAACGTTGTCACTGATTTCAGTAACAAAGTGAGATGAATTAGCTTCAAACTGATAGCTTATGGAAGAACCTGTGCTTTAACTGATTATTTTGTATAGAACTCCAATTAAATCTTGTGGTAGAAACACATTTTAAATAGAGGGTATCAAATTAAAATATAAAGTTTATAACTTTTTTTTTCCCACTTGAAGATTCTGAAAGTAAAATGTTTTAAGGTAGAAATTTGTGCCCGAGCAAGTTAGGAAATCTCTTTAAATAGTGATCTGAGGAGTGAGTAGAAACTCACCCTTCCATCACTGTAAATTCTAGAATTCTAGAAGGCAAAAAGATACTGAGGTGCCTAAATAGAAACAATTGAAATGTAAAAAGATGATTTCTTCTCATGAATTTATACATATTACAGTTAACATAATTGAATTTACTTATTTGTTTATGATGTGAATAACCAAAATTGCATCCAAAAGTATATTGTGATACTGTAAATTCACCTCTAGGTTGGAGTCATCAATATCTCTAACACACATGAAAAAGCTCTATAAGCATTTGCAGTTGAGAACTCTGCATTCCCACTGCTTCAGAAGTTCGTTGAAACATATGAAACAGATACTTCCTCTCTCAAGTGCTAACTAATTTGTCATGGAAACAACTCAATTATTTGTTTAAAGCTCTGCGCTTAAATTGAAGTTACAGTTTTGCTAGGGGGTTGCATTTTAAAAAAAAAAAAAAAAAAAAAAAAGGACCTATTTAACTTGAGATTTCCTTAACTCTGTTCATGTTCTGTTTGACTCTTTGCAGATTACCTCAGGCATGGTGATAAGCACTTTTGTGTCTGCACCCATCATGTATGTTTCTGCATGGCTTTTGACCATTCCATCCATGGATCCCAACCCACTGGCATCTGCGCTGCAGAATGTTAGCTTTGACATAAGTATTGTCAGCCTTGTTTCTCTGGTAGGTGTTGGCAAAATGAAATACCACTGCACACTGTAATATCAGAGAAGCTTTATTACATAAGCATCAAATCAAGTCGTGATTTAAGATGAGATTGATATTTCATCATTGGATCTTGTTGCAGAAGGATGAGGGAGGAGCTGGGTTTAAAAAAAAAAACTGAAAAGCTGCACTGTGGGGAAAAACAACCTGAAGTGCTTGGATATCTCAGTAATGCAAGCTATGTAAAAACTTCTGCTGGAATTAAATCTAAACTCCTGAAATGTTAATGAATATTTAATTAATGAAGTAGCAATGAGAACATTTAAGTTGGAAGTTTTAATTTAGCTTTATCAAATTCCTTTCCTGGTAGTTCTTGGTGTCTAATCCTGAAAAAGCATACTGAAATCTCAGAAGTCTGATATGAATTGTGTTTTGGTTTCACAAGCACTATACATAGTGTGCTTAGTCTTTTAATTTTAAATAAAAAGCTTCCATGTTGGAGGAAGCTGATAACTTCTGAAGTTGGTATCACACTGAACCTTTTGTCACAAAACTATCCCTCGAGGGAAGCATCAAGTAAAATCTGCCTCTTGCCATCATTAATCACTTTGGGAAATTTAAAAAGGACAGGATGCAAAGACTGTATAATTCCAAACTTCCAGTCTATTCTATGTTTGTTTATGTCTTGGGAAACAACCAGCCTTCTGCACGTGGAGACCTTGGTACTCCCTGGAAATATTTCGCCACTATGAGAACATGACGACACATTGCTTTTTCTAAGGCATCCACATTGTGTGGTGTGGTGGTGGTGTCAAGCTGCCTGTGACAGTCATGTTGCTAAGAAACTTCTCAAGAAGATTTGTTGTATATTTAATTGCACCAAATTTTGCCAGTGTTCATCTGGCTCTTTTTTTATTATTGTTGATGTTTTGTGTGTGTGTGTTGGTCTCATATTCAATTTTATCTTGTCTGTTACAGATTTGGTCTCTTATTGTTGTTCTTCTGAGTAAGAAATACAAACAGCTTCCTCATATGATTACAACAAATCTACTCGTTGCTCAGGTCAGTAGTAAAAAAAATATATATATTTTCTTTTTTTGTGCGTGTGTCTTATTTTTAACACTTTTGCAATTTGGTTTCTGCTGCGTATCTTTGTAGTCATATAAAGCGAGAAGGGGAATCTAATGTGTGACTTGTCTGAAAGGTTTCTGTGATTTAAGAGGTATAGCCTTGAAGAAAATGGCAAAGTGACTGTTTTGATCGTCCAGCTCTCATAGAGCAGCGTCTCAAACAGATCTATAAGCAATCAGAACGGCAAATGGCTTTTGCGATATATTTTTAGCATTATAAACTATTGCCAAATAGCAGTGCTGAGTGCACTTTCAGTTCAGTTTATGCCAATCTGAAGTCAGCAATGCTATGATAGGCAGCAACGTGCATCTGACTCTTGGTGACCTGATCCAAGGAGTGAAGTAGGAAACTAGTCCACATGCTGGTTCAGCTACCTGAAGTGACTCACTGAGGGATCAGACAGGAGCCAGTGCTGATGCAAGGAAGGGGCGTGGGAATGCATGGCTGGTGGCTAGAGAACAGCAAAGCCAAATAGCTCTGACTTGGATTAGTTGTAATTGTTATTTAAGCTGAGGGAGAACTATAGAGTATGTGCTTCTTTTTTCCTTGAAGACAACTGCGCAACTATTAGAATCAGTGATGTGCAGTGGAGGCTTTTTGAAGTGTTGTTTCTGTTTGTTTCTTAATTATAAAGTGAACTCTGAGATCTGATTGCAGTCACATTTCAGAGAAGAAAATCACACGTGAGAGTTGCAAGTGGTGCTTGTCTATAACAACATGAAGTTTGCTTTAGGAATATTTTTGAGCCCTTGTGTTAGTATTTCTGTAGTATTTCAGCCTATTTATTCAGATTAATTCAGTACTAAAACTCTCCCATGAGGCCGAAAACTTGTATAATTCTTGACTGATCTGTTGATGTCGACTCTCAGCTTCATGTTCAGATCATTTCAGATGAATGGTTTGTACCTAACAAAAGCTTTGCATCTTGGCTAAATATTTATAATCTTGCAATTACTATGTATACTTTATTTCCTGACTTTCCCTGCTCCACTGCTGTCGAAAAAACAAAACAAAACAAGAGGAGGTAGAATGCCCTAGTCAGTGATGTAACCATAATATTATTTATATATGTAAGCATAATATTTATTGCTGTGCTATGGAATTCATAAAATTACATTGCAATGGTGTTTAGAAACTTAACGTAGCTATATTACACTGTGTTCAGGTTTGAGGCTTTTTGTGTTTTTATCATCCTGTTTTCTGCATTTAGATAATATCATCTTTTTTTTTCTTTTCAGTTTATTGCTTGCATTGGAATGGTGATATGGAATTTCACTGTTAAACAGAAAGATGTAACTGTGCAGATCCTAGTATTTATATTTCTGTACAGTTCACTTTATAGCACCTACCTGTGGACAGGTATGATTTTTCTAGGCAGAACTGGGTATAGTATAAAAGATTAATGTACTGACATAATTTGATTGTATTCTTCCGAGTAATTGTTCCATTCACTTGTGTATAATTTCACAAACATACTTAAAAGCTGTGCCAAGCTGAAGCCCTAGCAATGGAAGGCTAAATGTCAGATGCTGCTTCTGCTACTCAAAGCTCATATATAGACATGTCTGGTTTCTCTTTGCCTATTACAGTACAAGACTTGCTGGTTTATTTAAAAAAAAAAAAAAAAAAAAAAAAGTCAAGAACCTGTCCCAAAGCAAAAGCAATTACAAATAGACTAAGTGGGAATGGGTTGCCCTTCAGCTACTCAAAAGCTTACTGCCAATTTTTAATTAATGCAGAATGTAAGACTTTAATTTATTCAGCATTAAGAAGATCTTAAAACCTTATGCCTCAAAAAACAGAATGAAGGGAGATAGCAAAGGAGCTTTAATATTTCTTCCCTGTGGCAATTGCAATTTCCAAAAACAGTGTATGTGTTCTGCAGGTGTAGATGATTAATGAAGAGATTAGTTACAGTAGACAGATTTGAAAGATATATGAAGGAACTTGGGGAACTATTTGGGTGCAACTAAAACAGACTTCCTATACCATTCCTGAGTCCAGAAGTGGAAAGGTTTATTTTGTGTGATGTTTTTGTCCAGTTTTGTGCTTGTTAGGCTGAGACAGAAAATAGTGTATGATTAGTATAGCCTAACGTAAATACTTGCTTTGCTTTGACAAGGAAAGTATTATTGGGGTTGGGAATGGAATTGATATTTGCAGAAGATAGTCCTATGTAGAGTTACTTCTGTAAAAACACATTAAACATTTTTGTGAAATTTAGCATTTACTTTCCAAAAGACTTATCTTTTTTTAACCTTAATGAAGTAGTCACTTGTGTCTTAAGTATTCTTATGGCACCTTTTAAATACTTGTAAACCTTCCTAAGCATTTATAGGTGGAAATAAATTGTGATCTGAGAGGCACTCTTTGGTTACTAAGCAGGTCACACACTAGAGTGTCTAGAGTCTGTAATTTTCAGTTCTCTTTTTAGTAATAAACAAGGCATTTCTTTTGTTCTTTGTAGGGTTTTTATCTTTCTCTTTGTTTCTGTTGAGGAAGAGAGAAACAGTGAGGATTCCCATCGGGTTTATAATCATAGCTGGATGGGGGTAAGTTAGCACAGATGTTTACCTGTAGGGTTGGTGAGAGCAAGCTAAATATGTTACTTTGTTCATATTTTGCACTTTCAGAGTCCCGACGCTTCTGATAGGAATCTTGTTAATAGTTGGTGAACGTAACAGCAATAGCATTGACTCTGCCTTTTTCTATGGAAAACATCAGGTATGAGTATCTTCTGTCCTTGTCTCTTCTGACTTTTGCCATATCCAATACATCCTTAAATTCTTTTCTATTTGTTTCTTATGTAAGTAGCTTTCAGTCAAAGTGCAGGCTACTCTAACAGTATCATTATACAGTGCTTACAGGTTGCTATAAAAATATTTCTGTAATGAAACATTCAAAAAACTTGTTTGAGCAATGACCTTCAAGTCATTCAAGTTTAGACTTCAAGTTTAGACAGCTATGACTAAGAAAAAGAGGGAATAAGCTTCCAAAAGAAAAGTCTTAGGAGTAGTAATGAATTGCAGAGCTCTCTTCTTGGTGACTAATTTAGTCTAGCTTGATAATTATCTAAAATTGACACCATCCAATAGCTAATTAATGTTTTTTAAGCTGTAGTAGATAGGATCTACGTTACATTGGTAGCAGTGACTGCTTGCGCTATGGGAGAATTCTCTGTGCAGTCAGGAGTTGAAAGTCCCTAAGGCTGAAATAGTGTTTTTATCAAAAGTAGTTTGTCTTTACTAGAGGATGTGATCTGTACTAGGGTAAGTAGTTGTTTTGTTTTCCCTCTGCCTTTCTTATGGACAGAAAGACTATGAGTTGCTCAGGTTTATTCATGTGGTGCTTTCACAAGTAACAAAATAGCTTCACAGTGGACAGTGGGTATTGGTGGTAGATGATTAGAATGAAACATTAATTAATGGGATGTTCCCCATGGGAGAAAGCATGGAAATTTGAGCTGTGCCAGAGAGGGTGGGTGACAAGTGCATTTGTCTTTGGGAATTAAAAGGTACATAAACTGAACTTAAAATGCAACAATAATGGTCCTGAGGGGAAATAATATAATGACAAGAGGATGTTTTTCTAGCTCGTGGGAAATAGGGGTCCTCATGAAAAACAAGAGAGGAGGGGGAAAAAAAAAAAAATGGGGGAAAAAAGAGAGGGAGGACGTAAGAAAAAAGGAGGAAAGAGGAGGAAAAAAACCAAAAACTAGCTGGCTTACTTATGAAAATAAAAGTAATTTCATGTACTGAGTGCTCCTTCACCTTCAGTGCTATGAGATGGGATAGCATTTTTAGTGCATTGTTAGTGCATTTTTAGTGCATTTAGGAAGCTGCAAAAGTTAGAAAGAAAGATATGTGCAACAATTTACCTTCAGTTTGTATTTAGGTACATACTTTCTTTTCTCTCCTTTTACTTAACAGATAATCACCACAGCAGTGGTCCTGTTCATCAGCATATTGATGTCAGGCATCTCACTTATGTGCATGAACAGAAATAGACAGGAGTCGAACTATGAGGTACTGAACCCATATTCACCTCACGGCCAAGTGGAAGGGAACGAGGGGAATCAAGTTTCAGCCACTGTGCCTCAACCTTCTGCAGGATCTTCTGCACAACTTTCTCCTGCACAACCTTCTGCAGGTTGTTCTGCACAGCTGTCTGCAGAAAGAGGTATAGAAAGTAGCTTTGTAAGAACAAATTAACAGCTTGGGATACAAAAATAAACAGAACTGTTCTAAATTTAATTCTGACCTGGGAGGGATTGTTGTTTACAACTTCAAATGTGTAGTTAGTTAGAAAGAAAAATCTAGATATAACTGTCCAAGAACTTAGGTTTATGTTTGTAGGGAAGGTTTGATTATTATTATTGTAAAGTGGGGGAAGTAGACGGGGAAAAAACAAACAAACATGTATGTGGGTTTTCTGTAAGTGATAGTGTTGTCATATGCATATGATAAATTCAGTCTAGTAGTTGTCACAGGTTATTTACCCAATAAACTGTCTCTCTGAGAATGAGTTATATGCCTTCAACATTGCTAATCCTACAGCGGTTGTTACTCCTTGTTTGACTTTGGCTTTCTTACTCACTTCTCTTGTGTTTTTCTTCTAGCTAAAAGCACCTTGCATGGAAGCACTGTGTTGCTTCCATGGTGGTAGTGCTTTGTTAAATATTTCTATGTATTTGTAATAAAATGCATGTGTGCTCTCAGCAGATTGGAACGATTGTCTGCTTTCTCCTTTTAGATTATTTGTGAATATACTGAAGTATAGCATATAGTGTTATAAAAAGAATAAGTTATGGCCTTGAAGGAAACTAACTATCTTATTATCCTTAATAGGTTGCTGTTCTTGTCAAACAACAAATGGGGAAATACCCTGTGCTAAGGAGGGCAAAACAGTGCCAAATACTGTTGAAAACAAGGTTCCTTCAATTGAGACAGGTAAAACAGCAGTGTATCCTTGTTTTAATATTACAGACTGGAATGGGTTGCCCAGAGAAGCTTTGGATATACCCTGTTACCTGGCAGTGTTCAAGGTCAGGTTGAATGGGGCTTTGGGCAACCTGGTCTAAAAGACCTCTCTGCCTGTGGCAGGAGGATGGGATGGTTTCACACCAATGGCCAATTAAACTCTGCCTGAATGCTCATTCCTCTTCCTCAAAGGAAGATGAGGAAGGTAAAATATGATGTAAGGGGGGGGGAAGGGGGAGGAAAGTCTCAAAGTATCAGGTAAGGATAACAAACTAAAGGGAAAAGAAAGGTGAGAAGGAAAAAAACAAGCACAGAGAGGAAAACAACAACATTTATTCTCTATTTCTCATTATCAAGTGATGTTAAGTCACAGCTTGGGAATCAGAACCTCAGTATGTGTGGCAGTTGTTCAGGACAGGCGTTTTCATAACAAGAGCAGCCTTGGCCATGTCCTCTCCCCAGCTCCTGCCCAACGCCAGCCTGCTGGGTTTAGGAGCTTGGAGAGAGCCTCGGTGCTGTGCCTGTGTTGCTTAGCCATAGGCAAACACTGAGGCTGTTCAAGCTACAAGTGCAGAGCACAGCGGTGTGTAGGCTGCTGTGCAGGAAGTGAACTCTGTATCAGTCAGACCCAGTACAGATGGTCTTTAAGGTCCCTTCCAACCCAAACTATTCTGTGATTTTATGGTTGACTCTCTTTCACAGCATTTGTGTGTGTTGCACTCATAGTGAAACTATTTGTTCTCTCAAGTCAAACAGCTGTTCTCTCAACTCTGCTTCAATAACTTATATTTCATATTAAATTCAAGTGTTGATATGTGCATTGGTATTTATGCTGCTCTTGTTGTTTATTAGAAATCTTTAATTGCTTAAGAGTGACAGTTTTACATATGCTTGGTAGATCTGTTTTTTTGGGAGGAGTGTGATTGCTAAATGTTAAATTGTTGAAATCGAGACAAAGTAGGACTAAAGTAAACTTATTATATACTCATATTCAAATCTTATTTCCACCCTGAAGTCTTTAAAGCTTTTATTGTAGTCATACACAGGTTTTGAATAAAAAACTTTAGGTCTAGAAAAGCAAGTACTTACTGCAGACTAGATCAAATGTCCATGCTACTGTATTATCCAAATCTTGGGGAGAAACGTGGAGAAAATCAACTGAGGGGGCCTTAGGCATCACTGAAATTGAGGAATGGATCAAAGTGGTTGTTCAGCACCTATTGGAAAATTGCATGCTCAGCCCATTCTTGTCATACATCACTTTCAACAATGAAAGCTATCTGCAGGGCAGCCTTTTTTTTCTCTGTTTTTTTCCATCTTTAACAAGGTAGTCCGTATCCATATGCTTTATCTGAATGCAGAATTACTTCAAACAAGACTAAATATTCCATGCTGAAACGTACCTTGTTTTATCTCCTCTCATAGTACGTAGCTTTCTACTTATTGCCAACTATTTTTTTTATGAAGTAGTTCAGACAAACACCGTAACAAGGTCTTCCAGAGATAGGGGAAGGGCAATTTAATTTCCTTATAGTAAGAGATAAGGTATTTTGAATCTTATGATTAAGTGGGATTTTTTTTTTCTGCCTATGGACTGAACAATTCAAGAACTATAAATCCCTAAAAGCGAACTGTAATGGATACATGTGTGTAACTGACTGCATTCATTACCAATCCTTCAGTTATTCCCTTGAACTATGAAAGGTATTTGGTGTAAAGTCTTAATATGTCCTTCACTGTAAGTTTTTCACTGCCATCTAGAGGAATATGCTCAGAATTGCTGAGAACTCCACGTGAAAGAAAAGCATCTGTTCTCTGTGTATTTGCTTCTTTTAATTAATAGAATTATGGCAATGTCTGTTATACCCTGTTAGAAATACAGTAGCAGAACTGAAATAAATACGGTTGCTTTTCTGATGTGGCAGCACTGAGATATGGAGTATAAGTATTGCAGCTGCTGTATACTTAGAATATTTATTCCATACGTTAATTCTAGGTTTAAAATCTGTTCTGAGGAAATTGCTACTGTTTCATTATTGCTAATTCTTAACCAGAATTTCTATTAGTCCATTGAAGGAAGAATTTTGTTGTGAAGTTTCTTCATCTTAGGAACGCAAACTGTTCCATTTGAGGATAGATGTCTGAACTGGTGGTTGTCAAAGCTAGCATTATGTGTGTAGGTCTTCAGTACAAACACAAGGTGATTTAACAAGTTGTGTTAGTGAGTTTACTTATCAGTTTAGAGATTGTAAGTTAGCCTAATGAAAACTTCTGCTTTGTTTTTCAGCCGATCAGTGTGTGAATCAGTGTAGTGCTCAGACCTGTGTGCTGGCTCAGGAAGAACAGCTTCTACAGACTGCAGACAAACAGCTGGCCAGACACGTGCTGCTGTGCTTGCTTCTTGTTGTTGGCCTTTTTGCTGTAAATATTTTTTTTCTCCTCCCTGTTGTTTCTCTCATTGAGGTGGGACCATTTTTAGGAAGGCTATGTAGACAGCCCAGTTAAAAAAAAAAAAAAAATCTTCCAATTCCTATTTTTTATAGTAATATATTAAGTAAATCAGAGGCTTTATTTTTTTCTCCTATTGTAGGAGGAGGTGTATCATAAGATTAATTTATTGTGTGGCACAGAAAAATTAAAGGCAAGTTAAGGCCAACAGTGTCAGTGAGCAAGCTTCACTGGAGAACCCCAAAGGGACAGGAAAAAATTGGAATCACATCATTGGGTAATTAATTCATCACTACCACTCCTTGTCCTATTTTTTTCTCAAGAGCTAGTCATCTTCTCTAGATATCAATTGAAAGTATGAAGTGAATTCTACTTCTGAAAGAATCTGTACAAAAATTGTTCCATTTGATCATGCCTTAATTTGGAATTTGGACTTCATAGAGGCATTTTGGTAAATAAGATACGTAAGACGTTATTTGAAATGGAAGAATGTGTTTTTGTTGCTTTTCATGCTTATTTGGGGACAGGCAACTAAGTTGATATTGCCTATTAAATTATAAAAGGAAAATGTACTCTGAAACCTGCAGGAGAAATATATGTTGGAAAAGAATATTAGATACGTTTTCTGTGTTACAGTGGTGTCCCAAATTAGACCCTCTATTTTCAACTGAATCCAAATGAATACTTAAATATGATGAAATGAGATCGATTATATTAGTTTGTTATCCTTTTCACCCAAAGGGGTTAACTTTGGATGCTTTAATTTCTTTAATCAGGTATCTGAGATAGCTGAAGCGTGGTGTGCTTCAGCTTAATGCAATCTTAACTATGTAGAAAATATGTAGAAAGCAATGGTGTCAGCCTCAAGACAAATATTGCAAGTGTGTCTAGGTTAATATTATCTATGTTAGCTTGAATACTTGAGAATGCTTAAAGCAAGTTCCTTGTATAAACATGTGAACAGGCAGGACCTCTACACTGATATGCTTTTTAAAAACAAACAAGCTCATTTGTTTACTCCCAGCAATTAAGTCTAATTACAATAATGTTTTAAAGTGTTTTTTCTCTCCTGCTGTCTTCATGTGAATTATTTGTTAAATAAATGCAGGTGAAGAATAAGAAGGTGCTTTCGATTTTAACTTTTGGTTTGTACTATTTTATTTTTCTGTTTGTTTTGTGTTTTTTAACAGAATCTTTCCAGCTGTTTATGGTGGCTGTTCAACCAAGAACCTGGAAGACTGTATGTGGAATTGCAGTTCTTTTGTGCTGTGTTTAATTTTGGTCAGGTACTTGCTGATGTTTATTTTGAAAATAGCTTTGTTGATATTGCAGCTCGTGCTGTTACAAGTGCTGTATGATCAAGTCCTCAAATAATACTGAAGACACTGGTTCCTTAAGCTGTTTTGATTATTTTCCCCCTGAATTTTTTCTTTTCTTTTGATAGTTGTCTTATCATAATGAGATTGCCTTGAGTATGAGCACTTTAAGAGGTACAAATGGCAGCTGAGTGCCAAATGTCCATTGAGACAGAGTAGAATTTCAGCTTTATTTTTAGCAGAAAATTTCTGCATAACTGCTTAGGTGCAGTATAGCTACATAGATACTTTGGCTATAGGGCTTCAAGTTACTACTTCTGCAGTTGCAGTTTCTTCACTATTAAGTAATACTTGACACAATTATATGTACAAATGTTGCAACTGCACATAACTTATTTCAGTGCAAACTGACATGTTAGACGGTGGACTACGAAGGTGAAAGCAAAACAGTGTTAGTACTTACCACAGGGAGTATTGCTCAGGTCTGTGGACAAGTGCACCTCTGAGATGCAGTGCAGAATCAAGTAATGATAGTCTGGCTTTGTTACAAAAGCAGCATGGAAGAATAGTGGGAGAACATTACAGCATGTAAATTGTAGTCAGTTCTTTTCTTGACATTAACAAAGAGATTGAAATAACTGGCTGTGTAAAGATACTGACATTTTGTTCATCAGATAGCTTACTTATTGAACTGCTTCTTTGAGAATTTATTTGACAGACATATATTTTAAGGACTAAGTGAAAAAACAAAGCAGAAACAAAATGAATTTCAAATAGTGACTGGGAAAGAGAGATACTCTCAATTTGTGTTTTGGCAATTAGTTGGTAACATTTTATTTCTAGTCTTCAGAAGTCAAAATTTTTTGCTTAATCTATTTCCTCTGTGTTTTTTCCTTTAGGGCTTCATTTCCTTTGGTATTTTTGGCTTAGATAAGCATTTAATCATTCTGCCATTCAAGCGAAAGTAAGTAGAACATTTACACTTATATGTACAAGTTTAATTACTAACAGCAATAATTTAAAAAGAGTTTGGAGTGTTCTGTGCCATAGCATTCAATTCCCTATTTGTTTTATTTTTAAAATTTCTTCTTCTCTGCCAGCTATGGAGAGCTAATTGCAGTTCACTATATGTGAGTTTTTACTGCTGCCCTGATACACTCGCACTGACAAAAATCTCACAAACTCCCAATAGACAAAATCCTTGTCTAACGATGGTAAAGCGTGTAGTACTGGGTCTTCAGAAATAATTTCAGCTGAAGAGAAAGATTTATTTGTGAGTGCTGGTCCTGATTCTTTCAGCACTGTTTTAAAGTCCTCTAGTAATTGGCTCGTACAAGTTCTTTGTGTGGATGGAGACTTTTATTGGTACCTCACTTTGAAGAAGTAAGTTGTACAAAATCATCTTTAAATTAGAGCTAGGTGGCTGCGTTGTGAATCCAGCAGTGAGGGCTGTTTCCCAGCTACTCTCTGTCCTTCCTTCTGCCTGAGCCCAAAGTAAAACTTCTCAGTGTTCAAAGGGCGTACAAGTATATTAGGAAGATCATATTAAAAACATTTGCAGAAAAACAGTGAAAAGCCATGATGAGATTCCTGTGAGTTCCATTTTCAGTTTCCTTGAAAGAGCCTTTGTTTGATTTAATTTTTTTTTTTTGTTACTCCCATCTCTCCACCCCAGGCTTGAATTGCTCTGGGGAGGAAGAGAAGCAGAAGGGCGTGCAGATCACACTCTACCTGAGGAAATCAGGATGACCTGTCAACAGTTTGTTCATTATCACAGAGATCACTGTGTCAAAAGCATTGTCAAAGGCAGAAGGTAAGGTTTTCCCCCTTCATATTTAACCTGTTAACAAAGCTCATAGCTCACCTTTTGGAAATAATGAAATGCAGTACATTCATTCTGTTGGTGATTTCTGTTCTGACCTATTTACTCAAACCTTCAAGTGAAGATTAAGAATTTTGCAGTAACATGTAGAAAATATTTCTTGTCTAAGACTGAAATGCTGAGGTACAAATTGTCATGTTATTTCATCTAGGTTTGATGGTTTTGTAGCTCCTCATTGAGTCCTGCCCCAGTTCTTGCAATTAGCAGGAGTTTAGGAACTAATGTACGTTCAGTGTCTGCAACAGCATGTGTGATGCTTCATTTTTGTCTTCTAATTAATAAGGTGTTTGTATTTATGGTAGAAAATGTTACTAACAGCTATTGCAGGAGGCAAAACTATGGCAACAGAGGCACTTACTGTCTGAGAGTGGAACATCTTTAGGACTTTACACCTTTTGAGTTCATACAGTTTCTTTTGCTGATTCCTCTCATGAACCTTAAACCCCAATTGTGAGATTGCCCAAGCTTGCAGACCCAAATTATGATCAAAGATCGTAATGATCAAAGGTTATGTATTCAGTTATGTTCAGGTGGATGAGAAGAGAAATGCAGACAGAAGCATCTGGAATAAGAAAAAGATACTTGCCTGCAATTATATATCTAGTATGTAAAGCAGAGAGATGAAGAGTTGTTTGAACAGAACAATTTTTTTTACTTCTCTTGGCATGGAAGCTCTCTAGTAGGACTAGTTCTGCAGGGGGAAATTCTCTCAATAGTCAGATAATCTGAAACCGTATTCCAGAACTACTTCTTTGGCAGCTGTGTTCCCTAAGAAGTAAAAGTAGAGAGTTATTAACATAGGAAAAAAAAATGAACTATGGCAGGGCAAGGACTTGCCATACAGAAATGAAGTATTGGAAACTGTTTTGAAATAAGATGGGTTTTAAAGCTCTGTGTTTGTGTTTTTGCACTTCTGCTATTGAGATTTCTTGGGTTTTGGGCTGTTTGGTTAGTTTTAGTGTTTTGTTTTTTTTGTTTTTTTTTTAATTATGTATCATCTGAGAGAATACATCAAAATCTGACTTTAAGTGCTTTATTGTTTTCATATTATGTTTGTGCAGAACAAGTTTCACATCTTTTTTTTTTCCTCCCTGTGGATTAAGATGAAGCATTTATATTTGTAACTTGATCCTATCCTCATTGATTTGAACATGCTATAACTGAGACCTTCTGATCATGGATTTCTATTTGTTAGATTTTTTTTTCTCTCCTATGATAGTAAGTTGCTATCTGTTACTGCTGCTTTTAACTTGGATTTAAAAAAAAAAAAAAAAAAAAGGGAAAAAGAAATAGAAGTTTATTTTTTGCTATTCTGTACAATTGTTAATCATCTTCAGAAACTCTATGCTTGGTTTCCATAGAGGAGATTTTAGATGAGCAGAAACATTCATTGCTGCAGGTAAATTTCAGAATGGTATTTCACTGCAGCAAGGCTAGATGTCAGTGGAATTACTTCATGAATCTGTTATGTAAGTCAGTAAATTAGTTGTCTTCTTTCATTTATTCTTAGTACTGCCTGCTGTAGTAAATATTTAACCAGATATTCAAGTTAAACAGTCTTTGTTTACAATGTATGTAAGCAGCTGTTTTCTGCTTGAAGCTGGAGAGGAATTATAAAATGGTATTGAAGCACAGGCGGAGGTCCTGCTGCTGCAGGCATGCTGCACCCAAATCATATTTTGTTGCAGAAATGGTCATGCTAATGAGTGCATGAGAAATAAGTAGTCAGTAAATAGGCTTGCACTATGTGTGCTAGTAGGAAAACTGCTGCTTCTGTTTGTTGATATTTATTTACAGAGGCCTAAAATAACTTTATGTAAATTTCGCTTAAGTGTCTGTAGGAAAAGGTAGTGAACACTGGCATGTCCCTAATATGCAAAACTTGCAAATTCTCCTCTAAACTAAACATGCTCTTAACTATCATGATGTCTTTCCTTGTTTCCTGCTATTTTTCCTTGCCTTTCCCCATCGTGCAGTGGTGATACCAGATTTACAGAACATGTGGGTGAATCATTCCTTTGACATACAGGTGTGGTGCAAAGACCTCCACTGGCATCTTCTTTGGCTGTGATCTGGTGAACTGGCTCATCCAAGTTGGCCTCGCCTCTGACCGTGGTGAAGCTGTGATGTACGGAGACAGACTGATGAAAGGAGGTGTCATCCAGCATATTACAAATGAATTTGAATTTCGGGATGAATATTTATATTACCGCTTTGTTCAAAAGAGAGCAACTACAGCTGAGAGCCAATGACCTGAGCATGTAGACAGAGGGCAGGCAGGTAGGGGTAAATGTGACCATCTCTTCTGGGTTTGCTGCTGAAACTGGAAGTGGTTCTTTCTCAGGGCTCCTTGGAGGGTCCTGTTACCTTCTCGTGTAAAGTTCAGAAATGTGGTTCTACTTCTGTCTATTCTGAAGCAAATGATAGCCATTCTCAGTAAGTGCTAAACCAGAAAGCAACTAGATCACAGCAGGATACTCTGGATTTCTTCCATTTTCAGCAAAACAAATAGTAAATTAATATGCATCACTGACATATTATACAGACACAACAGCAACTTTAGTGACTGGTGTCACAATGGAAAAAAACATATCAGAGGGGAATATTTCATGTCACTGTATGTTTTATAGTATTTCAGCGTGATGCAATCTTGATCCTTGTTCAAGGTCAAGCTCCCACTTCATAGAAATAAGACTTATTCCATCATATCTCTTTTTTTACTACTGCATACTTTTGCATAACACCAGAAACTTTTTCTGGCTGTTTACACCTCACACCAAGCAGTTTGTTTCCCCTTTAAATATAAAATCCTCCTTTTCTAATAATAGAATTCTTATGAAGAGATTACAACGTCATAGAATTAAAGCTGAGGAAATAAGGAGTAAATAAAAAATAGTTTTCTACAAAGATACTTCAGAAACATACAATAATAATCCCCACTTCTCAAATTAGGAAACGATGATGTATTCTTACATAAACAGCTGATCCTGAAGTTTTCTCTTTTAGTGGTGGTAACAGCTTTGTCAAGAGTGGATTTTTACTTTCTGGAGTAAGCCTCCATTATAATTCAGAAGTGCCAGCCTCAGATAGAGAATGTGTAGAAGCCTAGGACACCTGTGCAAGTCAAGATCCAACATTTTATTAAGCCATGAGATCTTTTAAATAACATGCATTGACTTCTAAGTCTATTCTATAAACAACCCTAATGGAGCATCAAGGTTAAGGTTTACAAAAGCTGGAGATATTAGAATGTTGTTATTATTGGGCATGTAACAGAGTTTTCAAATAGGCCTCAGGTATCCCTCTGTGATGTTAAGTGGTTAATCCAGTGTCATTCAGATTCTCATGCACTGAAAGCAAAAACTTCAAGAGTAGTTTGAAGAGGTTAAAGACAAATTGCAGTATCTGATAGCCATTACGCTGCTAGGAAAAGCAGTTCTAATGCTGAAAGAAGGCATTTATTTGTCTATATAAAATGTTATATAATGAGGGAAAGGAACAAAAATACTAAAATAGTATTTGCACATCTGGAATAGTCAAGGAAATGACTTTTTAAAAAAGCATCCTTTAATTTAACTTTATTTTTTAAATACAGATTTTATGACAGCTACTTATGTGTCTACTCTGTATTAAGAACTGAAAATGATTTTAGCAGCATAATCTATTGTTCAGGAAACAGTCATTTTATGGTAGCTATAACTTTGCAAAAGATTTCAGTCTTATTGCAAACCTTCAGTGTACTCTGACACATAACTACATAGGTACACTACACAAACTGATATATTTTAATGGTTCCAGCAACAAGGTAATTGGGCTGTGGCCACAAAAGAAAACGATAGTTTGATTTCCATTAGAATTGCTGAAGACATCAGACATTTTGGAATGACTAGATATACATGTCTAAAGAGCAGAAGCTATATTCTAAATATTGTAACTTATTAATAAATCTGATATTGATTTCAGAGTTCTGGTTGTGGTGTGATGCAAGGCGTGTGGGGTTACGTGTGCATGTGAGTTGTACAAGAAGTGCTTCTTTCTGAGAGATTGGTTGACGTGGCTCCTGGATTTCAGATTTGCTATGGGGAGTATGCAGAGTGGTTGTTAATGGATGTCCACCAGTTTTCTTCTAATTGCATGCCTGCTCCTGATGCCAGCAAGGAGCTAATTCAGATCTTCAGGAATGTTTTGAAATCATCTCCTTAGCAAATACTTTTTATTTCAGAAAACTGTTCAGATGTTCAAGCTTAACTAAGCTCAGTTTGACGGCCCTAAGTTTAGTCGTCATTCTTGCACTCAGCTCTCATTCTCATCATGATGTCCTTGCCTTGGCCTCTTAGTAATGGCTCATTCCTAGAACCAAATCTAGCACTTCCCAGATTTGAAAACAGCATAGCTGTTTTAAATAAGAAATTGCTCAAAATGTTTGCTTAGAGATGTTTGCTTTAAAAAATCTACTGAAAAAGGACATCTTTTGATAACAACTGACAAATACGGTTAGATGAACTGTTACAACACTGTGACTTCTGATGTAGCTAGTCTGATGAGAGTCTATGATGATTAACAAAAGAAACTGTAAAACAAATATGGAACATACTAATATATTTCTAAATCATTGGAGATTTTTGGAAGCGAAGGACAGGCTTAGAGTAACATTAGGAAGTTATTTAACTCTTATACCTGACAAATATTTGATTCTACTCGGGAGCACCAGTAGACTTTAAAATAGTTGGCAGTTAAGTGTAGAGCAGTTGCTTATCTAGTGATGTTTTTGTAAATGGCTTTGCTTTTAAGCCTTGGTCAGTGATGCAGTGAGTTCTGTTTTTTGAAGGTTGGTCAGCTTAGGACAGATATCAGTTAACTCGGAAGCTGTTTGTTTTTTGTATTTTTTTTAAATTATTAGTTTTTAAATAATGATCCTTAATTAAGTTTGAGATTTAAAAAAACAAAGAACCCTGTAAGACATTTCTAGGTGAAGTACATGCAAAGATTGCCCTCTGGAGGACATTGTGATGTATATATTTTTTAAGTGCGGTTGTGGGGGGGTAGGGCTATTTACTCCTTCTGCACTCATCTTGTGTTTTGTACCACATGTGTACTAAGATAAAATCCCAGGAAGAAAGGTAACAAAATATCTTCTACTCTGTTGGCCATGACTTGGTACATCTGAACACATCATCTTGTTTTTACTGTGTATACTGTAGACAAATAACAGACAACATAGAAATTGGAAGAACAGCTGGCCTATATCTGCATATATTACAGTCTGACCAATGTGTGTTTAACCTGATAACCTGGTTAATTGCTGTCCTGAGATTAAGTGGCCAAGAAGTTTGCTTAAAGGCCTGGTGCAACCACCTTCTCTACTTCCATTACTTTGTAAATTTACTATACTTGCAGTGTAGTATGAAATTGTGTATCTCATTTTCCTATGCTGCTTCTAAACTTATCTCTTACCTTGGTTTCCTGCACAGTTTTATTCGGCATTTATTTCTTCTTTGAAGTTATCGTGGAGCTAGTGTGGAAAAACTGATGATCCCAAATAGGACACAGATGCAAATTAATTGTCAGATACAGATATTCATGAGCAAAACGGGTAAATACAACATATTTTTATTAAATATACCATTTAGTTCACAAACATGCACTCTACTATTGAATTTCTAAGAAATGATGATGGTAAGACATGCACAAAAGGTTGACAGTTGACTCAAGCTTATTTCCTTAGACAGCCTTATTACTGCCACTCAGTCAGTATATGATCTATATATACATGATCTATATAGGAAGTTGAAGAACTGCTACACTGACCCATTCAATTCTCGGTGTGGATCTGAATATGCTACCACCACATTAATCAAAAAGAACAGATCTGATCAAGTTTTCTTCATCTTCTTTGTTTGGCAGCATATTACAAACGTCATTTTATATGTATTTCTTATATCTGCCTAGAATGCTTTTTCTCCTGGGAATATAGAATGGCTTGCAAAATATCAAAACTTTGTTTAGTTTTCTTACATCTGAGATGACTCCAGAAACTGAGGAATATAAAGCATTCATCAAAGGAATGGTCTTTCTGTGGCCTGTAGGGATATTGCATCTGTCTATCTTGTCTATCACTGTCTATCACTACTATCACTGTAATTTCAAAGCTCCATTTCATTTTACACATTCTCTTCTGAAGGTCCACAGAAGCACTGAGATTTTTTTCCTTGGCTTGTAATTTTTATCATGCTTGATCACATAGCAAAGTCAGAACCTTCCTTCCTTTTTTTGCTCTCTTTATCCCTCATTATGGTTAATAAAAGTAGTGTCACAGCTTGACTGCTGCTTTTAGCAGGACTGTGGAGGAAAAGCTTCATTAAATCAACTTCTTTGTCTAGCAATTTTAGTGTAACAAGGTATGGCTAAAATAAAATGAAAAAGTTTGAAGAGTCCTTTTAAGTTCTCCATTGAGGATACATATATGCTTATGTACCCTGACTTATTAATTTCCAGTTGCTTTGTTTAAAACAAGCAAACAAAAACATTACAATAAAGTTTCTTTAAATGCTTCCTTTAAAAAAAACTTCCACACAACATTATAAAATGCATTACAGAATTAATTTAAAATAATTATATTGCATGTAAATAAATTATTTTTGGTATCAGTGGGAAAAATAGGGAAGTGAAAATTGGTAACTTGCAAGATGTTTGCTTTGAATTTCAAGTAATCAGATTTCACAACAAATTGTGACAAAGTTATGATTTGGATTCAGTACAATTTAAGTTCTTAGCCTCATCCTGTGTTAAAGGAGTAGAATGTATGAAATGTGCCTTAGACAGTATTTATCGAAGAGCTGAACAACAATCTTTCTTACCCATACCACTTTCCTTTTTATTCAGTGATACCAATACTTTCTACATTCTAGCAAGACTTCCAGCCTGGCCATTTAAATTCAGGCAAGGAGAAATTCTGCTGCAATTATTAATTTGACTATAAAAGTTACACATGTGTAACATGGGGCTGTTCTGCAACTTAGTCAAGCTACTGAATTCTAATTGCATCCGTGTGTTGTATCAGTCCTTTTTGACAGCTTTTTGCCACCTACAAAGGTACTGCATAGCTCTAAGGGAGGCTTTTCTGCCTTGCTTCCCACAACCAAAAGCTGTTTGGCCTGAATAGAAATCCGCATCTTTAAAACTGTCTGTACTAAATAACTGGTGTATGGAAAACAGGAGGTAATCTATAGAGCCACTCCATTAGAAGAAGTAAATATAAAAGCTATCCATTCAAACAGTAATTTTAACCATATATTTTGAGTTCTTCATCTACACACTGTGAAAAAAGGTTCCCCAGTTGGTTTGTGTCAGGACATCCATTTTGCAGAATTGATTCCATTTCACTCATCTTCCTTTTCTCCAGTGTCTGTATCTTTTCCAGCATTTCTTTACCTTTGCCCTGCAAGAAGGAATGTCTGTGTTTCACTGGAAGCTATACAAGACATGTAGTGTTCATCCCCACAAAATGCTGTTGTACTGTCCTTATTTAACCCTATAATTGTTGATAGAAGTTAGCAAAATTGGCAAATTTTCTTAGATCTTTCCTAATACCTTGGACTCTCTCCATTTCCCTTACATCCTTTGACTAATGTGCCTGGGAGAGGAGCTGCTCTAGGAATTTAAGCCAGCAAGACTTCAGAGGGTGTATGTCCATTTTTTAGATCATGTTAACTGTGTAAACAGGAGAGACACTACTGTTAGAAGTACCTGCCTTCCTGTTTTACCTCCGTGCTCAACTATCTTTGTGATCTTGTTTTCTTTCCTGATGTCCAGGGAAATTCCTCTATACGTACTACTTAATGCTACATTATTTTGGCTGCTTCAGAATAACTTCTGCGTAATTCAGATATTTCTGTAGTGCTTGCTACATCTACGCTGCCACTTAGATCAGCAAAATTAGGATCCATGTAACTGTTAGATGCAGAGCTACGTACAACTTACATGTTGTAAACATGCTGCTAAAATGTATCTGTATTTGATACAACTTGGCACTTCCAGTATCCTTAGAAGATGTACTAGTAAGTGTCGCCATGATTGTCAGTGAGATGCTAATTTTGTGGGGAAAAGAGCTCTACAAGAAGCAGGAGAATAAGAGGAAAAAGTAGGAACAGAACTTCAGTTTGAATAGTCCAACTTCTGTTTCTAAGGTTGTTTGACATGACATGCATAAGAGAGTCTGTCCATACCAAGCAATGGTAAAAGGCATGATCTCCTTGCTGGTAGAGATCAGAGTCCCAAAGAGTTTTAAGTGCTTGCCTCAGGAGCTGTATATTTGCTTGCAGCTGCTCAACCACTTCCCTGTTGTCTGACTAGTGCAGGCCTATGTAGGGCCTCTTTCTTTGCAAGATAAGCAGCATAGATACTTCTCTGGAGCTACACATAGGAGTACAGCTGGTTTCAGTTCTTAGAGTTAGGAAACATATGCCTGCCAGATTCCAAGATGACTGGCTTCTGGAGCACTACTATATTCTTCACCATTCATCTAAGGGCATTTAATGATACCACATTAACAAAATGCGAGCAAGATGCTTATATAAACCACCTGCTTGGACTGGAATCTAATTTAATCAACATACCTTCATAGTTTCCATAACTACAGCAGCATTTTCATGTTTTTTATAGAGCTCATGTCTTCGATCTGGCTTACTCTGAAAACGTGGCTGCTTCTTGACTGGATCATCAGGACCAAATGTAGGGGAGGTAGTTTTTAATAACTCAGTAATTCCAGGCACAAAAATGAAAGGCTTGAACACAGACCTAGGAAGAGAAAATAGAACACAGATCTTTACTGTATAGCTGCGTTAAAAAGGAGGCAGTAGATTGCTGTATTTTCCCCATATTTCTACTTCCTTCTCACAAGGAAGAAGTCTAAAAAAATCAAAAATTCTCCAAACATGTTTTTAAGTCAGTGTGATAGCAGCAC